GCTGCCTCAGTCTCCTGAGTAGCTGCGATTACAGGCGTGTGCCACCATGCCCAAATAATTTTGTATTTTTAGTAGAGACAAGGTTTCACTATGTTGGCCAGGCTAGTCTTGAACTCCTGACCTCAGGTGATCTGCCCACCTTGGTCTCCCAAAGTGCTGGGATGATGGCATGAATGACTGCACCCAGTCTCACTTGCTAATTTTAATCAGCTGAGGTCAGAGGGGTTGGAGGTCACAAGACAATTTCTGGGGACTAGGGCTGCCTCATCAGCAGAGGTTTGCCTGCTTAAAAAGGGCTATAGGTAGTATTTAAGTATGGGATAAAAAACAAAAAGTAAAAAATAAAACAAAAAAAGGGCTATAGGTGTGTCTGGCTCAAGGTTTGATGTATTGGTAAGGGAGCTACAGTTCCATGCGGCAACCTTTTGTCACAAGCTTCTTTCCAGTCACTGGGTTAGTTTATAAGAAGCTTACAGCCTGCTGAGCCCAGTTTCTTAATTTGTCAAATAAGCAGCCTGGGCTCTCTAAGATCCCTTCAAGTATAAAGTAATAACTGCCTTTCTCCTCAAACTTTTTTTACATAAACAATTATTAACCCAGGACGCTCTCCATCCTATGCTTATGTAATTTATTTTTTGTATTCCAAATTTCATTTTTCAATAAATGCTTGCTGTATTATCTTTTAAAATTTTTAATGTTGATTATTTTTTGAGAGAGGGTTTCACTGCTGCCTAGGCCAGAGGGCAGTGGCACAAACATGGCTTACAACAGCCTCGTCCTCCTGGGCTCAAACAATCCTCCCCACTCAGCTTCCCAAGAAGCTGAGACCATAGATGTGTGCCATCACACCTGCTTAATTTTTAAATTTTGTGTAGAGATGGGATCTCACTGTGTTGGCCACGCTGGTCACAAACTCCTGGACACAAGTCATCCTCCTACCTAAGCTTCCCAGAATCTTGGGATTATAGGTGTGAGCCATCATGCCTGGCTTTGCTGTTATTATTATTATTATTATTAATTAATTTATTTATTTAGAGACAGAGTCTCACTCTGTTGCTAGGCGCCAGGCTGGAGTGCAGTGGCACGATCTCGGCTCACTGCAACCTCTGCCTCCCAGGTTCAAGCAATTCTCCTGCCTCAGCCTCCCGAGTAGCTGGGACTACAGGCACACGCCACCATGCCCAGCTAATTTTTGTATTTTTAGTAGAGAAGGGGTTTCACCATGTTGGCCAGCATGGTCTCAGTCTCTTGACCTCCTGATCTGCCTGCCTCAGCCTCCCAAAGTGCTGGGATTACAGGCGTGAGCCACCGCGCCCAGCCGTATTTATTTTTTTGAGACTGAGTCTCACTGTCGCCCAGGCTGGAATGCAGTGGTGCGATCTCAGTTCCCTGCAACCTCTGCCTCCCAGGTTCAAGCGATTCTTCTGCCTCAGCCTCCCAAGTAGCTGGGACTACAGGTGCCTGCCACCGCACCTAGCTAATTTTTGTATTTTTAGTAGAAACAAGGTTTCACGACATTGGCCAGGCTGGTCTCGAACTCCTGACATCGTGATCCACCTGCCTTGGCCTCCCAAAGTGCTAGAATTACAGGCATGAGCCACCGCACCTGGCCTGCTGTTATTATTTTTATGACATTTCATTCTGTGGTTTGGAGCCATTATTTTGCCCTGTTGCAAGGCTTGAATCTTGAGTTGGCCTTTTGATGTATTTGGTTTTCTTTTCAGCTCTGTGCCATTGGCACAGAAAATGTGCTTTCTGTGTCATCATTTGAGGCAGGACCAAAGAGAGGCCCGGGGCAAGTCACTGAAGACTTATCTGTACTCTTTGGCTTCAGTGATCAAAGAACTCCAAGTCTCCCTCACGGTGCGATCAGGCAGCCCATTTTTCTCCCTCCTGACTCTGAAGCCTTTGTGACAGACTTTTAAAGAGGTCTTTGCTAAAGTCCACACCTACTGTGTCTCCAGCAATCATACTCTTGATTGAGGTCAGACTATCTTGTATTTTACAGATGGAAAATTGTGACTTGCCCAAAGTCACATACTGTGGCAAGGCTGGTCTCTTTAACCAGAGTGTCATGTTCTTTCTATTACATCATTCTTCCTCCACAGTTCAGGAAATGTATCTAATGCTACTCTAATACATTATACACTTGATGGCTTAAACAATAAAAATGTATTGTCTTACAGTTCTGGAGATTAGGTTGACACAGGTCTCACTGGGCTGAATTCAAGGTGTCTAGAGGGCTGCTTCCTTTCTGGAGGCTGAAGGGGAAAATCCGCTTCCTTGTCTTTTCCATCTCTTAAAGGCTGCCTGCATTCCTTGGCTCATGGTCCTCTTCCTCCACCTTCAAAATCAGGACCTTTGGGTTGAGTGCTTCTCCTGTGGCATCTCTCTGGCCCTCCTTCCCTCACCGAATCTCTTTCTCTCTGTGATGGGAAAGGTTCTCCCTTTCAAGGACTCATGTGATCAGAGTGTGCCTACCAAGATAAAACAGGAAAATCTCTCCATCTAAAAGGGCCTTAATTAACATAGTCACATCTACATTTTGTTAGGTAATATTCACAGGTTCCAGGGATTTGAGTGTGAACATTTTTGGGAGGCCATTATTCTGGCTACCACACCCTGTCAGTAAACTAGGGCTTCCTGGAGGCCAGTGGGTTAAAGTAATAAAGACAGATATAGCCTGACTTTCAGAGTCTTAGGAGATGCCTCTGATGTCCTGACGTAGACTGTATCAATGACAAGTCCCCTTCCACATGGGAGATTCTATCTGATGCCCTCATGTTTGGACCCCCTCCTCTTGTCAACCCATTCTGTGTAATGAGTAATGGGGAGGTCAGGAGAGGGTAAAACGTGGGTGTTGGCGTCTGCCCTCTAGGCTCTCAGATTATATTATGGTTCTGGAAAAGCTGAAATGTATAGCACTGATCCCTCAGCTCTTAAAAAAAAAAAAACTCCCTGATATTTGGGCAATAGAGGTATAGCTTGGAGTTACAGACATCTTTTCTGATGTCCAGCCTCTAAAGGTAATGTGAATGTCAAAATTGTAAAGAACCCATGTGACACAATTGGGGAAGGGGAAGGATCCCACTCTCTTACACAAAGGAAGGCTACAAGATGGTCTAAGACAGAGGGAATGCAGCCTGTCATGAAAAGATATGTAACCAAAAGACTAAAGAGGAGAAAAATATGACCGAGCCTGGTTAAGACATTCAATGGGGTGTGCAATTCCATCTGGGGATCCCTTCTTTTTTTTTTTTTTTCTTTGGAAACGGAGTCTCACTCTGTGTCCCAGGCTAAGCACAATCTTGGCTCGCTGCAACCTCTACCTCCCAGGTTCAAGCAATTCTCCTGCCTTAGCCTCCCAAGTAGCTGGAATTATAGGCACATGCCACCATGCCTAGCTAATCTTTTTGTTTTTTGAGATGGAGTTTTGCTCTTGTTGCCCAGGCTGGAGTGGAATGGCACAATCTCGGCTCACCACAACTTCTGCCTCCTGGGTTCAAGCAATTCTCCTGCCTCAGCCTCCCCAGTAGCTGGGATTACAGGCATGCATTACTAAGCCCGGCTAATTGTGTATTTTTGTAGAGACAGGGTTTCTCCATGTTGGTCAGGCTGGTCTTGAACTTCTGACCTCAGCTGATCTGGCTGCCTTGGCCTCCCAAAGTGCTGGGATTACAGGTGTGAGCCACCATGCCCGACCTAATTTTTGTATTTTTAATAGAGACAGGGTTTCACCTTGTTGGCCAGGCTGGTCTTAAACTCCTCACTTTAGGCGATCTGCCTGCCTCAGCCTCCCAAAGTGCTGGGATTACAGGTGTGAGCCACCGCAGCTGGCCAGAGTATTCCCTTCTTAAGCCTCTCCACAGGTCAAGTTAGTCAGCACGCTTATGGATTCCTTTTTTTTTTTTCTTTTTTTTGAGACAGAGCTTTGCTCTTGTTGCCCAGGCTGGAGTGCAATGGCATGATCTTGGCCCACTGCAACCTCTACCTCCTGGGTTCAAGCGATTTTCTTGCCTCAGCCTCCCGAGTAGCTGGGACTACAGGCGGGAGCCACCACACCTGGCTAATTTTTTTGTAGTTTTAGTAGAGATGGGGTTTCACTGTGTTAGCCACAGATTCCTTTTTGAGTGCAGACTGGAAGCTTGGTTTTAGCATTTTACCTGGCATCTACATCATGTTCACCTGTGTTTTGGATCTGAAAACTGGGACACTGTACAATCTGGGGAACTCCTGCAAATGTTACTGCAACTGATTTACTCATACACTGCCAACACCTACCCCCTGTACTCCACAGGTTCAAGTATTTGACTGTCCCCACCCACCCCTGCTACCAGCTGCTCTATACCCTCCCACTCACTTTCAGGGCCCCTGGGCCCCCAGGGAGTCACCACCACACACCACTGTCTGTATCTGGGGGAAGGTCTGGGTTGTTGGAAACTTTAATCAAGCAAGGACCGTTAACAGCTGCAGAGGCACCTTAGGAAACAGTGAGCCTCAAAAAGGAAATACTTGTAGGATCTCTTGTGATGACTTTTGAAGATTTTTCTGAAAATGACCCATCATTCCCTGCCACGGAAAATAACAGCAATCACAGGCAGCCTTCAGCCCACAGAAGGCCTTCTCCTTCAGGCAGGCTCTGACATAGCTGCTCACCTCACAGATGCCCTAACAGACTGCAAATCCTGGGAACATGCATGTCCATGCATGCACATGCACACATATGCCTCTCTACAGATGCATTTTTTTTTTTGACAGAGTTTCCCTCTGTGGCCAGGCTGGAGTGCAGTGGTGCGATCTCAGCTCACTGCAACCTCCGACTCCCTGGTTCAAGTGATTCTCCTGCCTCAGCCTCCCGAGTAGCTGGGATTACAGGCGTGTGCTGCCACGCCCAGCTAATTTTTGTATTTTTTTAGTAGAGACGGGGTTATCACCATGTTGGCCAAGCTAGTCTTGAACTCCTGACCTCTTGATCTGCCCACCTCTGGATCACGAGGCATGAGCCACCAAAGTGCTGGGGTTACAGGCGTGAGCCACGGCACCCGGTCTACAGACAGATACATTTTTGAGGTGACAGCCTCGTCTCAGTGGCCTCTGGGCTGGCTTCCTCTAGGGCTGGCTGGGTGGAGCTATTGGCAGAGCTCTAGGGTTCCTGGCAGCGCCTCACCACACACCACCAATCATCCGAGCTGTTGGCATGCAGTGAGGACCTTTACCCCCTTCCTTTTTCCTCCCCACAGCTGCAGGAGGGGTTTCTGCGGAGCGGATACCATACTGCTTGGGCGAGTTCTTCCCACCCCCACACTGTGTCTTGTTCCAGTTCCTTCCTATCCCTGATGTAGGCTGTTTTGGGGTTCTTATTAGGGGTCACATCTGGTAAGAGAACATTAGGGAGTACCTTTGGGCACCCCTGTTCAGCAGCCCCCTTCTCCCCTTCCCTGGTTCCCTCTCTCCTCCATCAGCCAGGCCCCTATCACCTATGAGGGCCTCTCAGTCCCTGGGTCCTCTGCCACAAATGCCCCTTTTTTCCTTAGGGCTGGGTATGAAGGGACAGTGTTGGGATTTTTTAAAGGAAGAACTTTACTAGGAAAGTAGGAGGAAAACCAAAACCAAACCAAGAAAATGTCAAAATGTCTGCTGGTCCAGAATCTGCGCTCGGCCTCTCGCTCTGCTCTGCTCCTCTGCCTTGCCTCTGCCTAGGAAGCTGTAGCCCTTCTTAAGCCCTCTGCAACTCCCTTGCTCACCTGCTCCCTGGCTCCCCATGAGGGTGCATGGGGGGCAGTGCTGCCACACACCTTTCCAGAGGTGCTGCAGTCATGGCTGTTCCTCACCTTGTTCCTGGACCCACAGTTACTAGAAACCCCAGGATCATGAGGAGTGACAGATGCAAACCAGGAGCCCCCAGTCTGATGGGGAGAATGGAGCCTCACCCTGGAGCTGGGGAGATCATCTGGGCCAGTGCAGCTCCAGCTACACATCATAAACCCCAGTGGATAAGGCAGCCAGGAGGAGGGTGGGGCAGGGCAGATAACCAGGAGGACCAGGTTTGGGGCCCAGCATGGCCCACATGGGTCTAAGATGCATGGAGAAGCAGCACAAGCAGGACATGGGGACAGGCCCAGCCCCTACCCATGTGCTTTGGACCTCAGTATCCCCTCTATGACCCCTCTGGCCCTGGCCCAGGGATGCCTTCTGCTTCATTGAGCCCATCTGTTTGAGACTTGCTCACATCTTCCTCTTTCGGGACTGGAGGTCACAGAGCTAGGTGCTTAGCAGTACAGTCACAGAGATAACACAAAGCCTAGACGTAAAGGGACAGAGAGGAGAGGGGCAAGGGAGGACGGGTGGGGGCAGAGCTGCTCGGGACCATGGCTGAGGCCATCACCTATGCGGATCTGAGGTTCGTGAAGGCTCCCCTGAAGAAGAGCAACTCCAGCCGGTTGGGACAGGGTAAGGGGGATAAGGGCTCCCCTTGATCCTACATCCCCACTCCCTGCCCCACAGACCCCATTCCTGACTCCCACATTGGTCTCTTTTCTCTTGTCTCCAGACCCAGGGGCTGACGAGGATGGGGAACTCACCTATGAGAACGTTCAAGTGCCCCCAGTCCCAGGGGTGCCCTTGAGCTTGGCTTCTTCTGGACTAGGGGACAAAGCAGGTCTGGAGATCCTGGGGGATGTGTGTTTGTTGCAGGGGATGTGTCTTGAGCTGGGGAGTCCACAATGTTGTTGTTGTTGAGACAGGGTCTTGCTCTATCACTCAGGCTGGAGTGCAGCGGTGTGATCATGGCTCACTGTGGCCTCGACATCCTGGGCTCAAGTGATCCTCCTGCCCTGGCCTCCCAAAGTGTTGGGACTGCAGGCTTCAGCCCCCACGCCATGACCCATAGTATTCTTGAGAGCACAATACCCTGGGGGAAAGGAGGAGGCCGGTTGGTAGGAAAGAGAAGAATAGGAACAGGATAAATGGGAGCCAGGAGAGGAAGAAAGATTCCTTCAGCAAGGTGGAGACCCCAGGGCAGCCTTGTGGAGGGATGAGTTCCAATGGGAAATGGGGAGCCATGGGAGGGAAAAGAGGGAATGGGAGAGGCATGAGAGCAATGAGGGACAGGGATTGGGGCTGACAGATAAGAGGCCCCTGAGGAAACAATAAAGGAAGAACTAGGAGAGATGAGGGGGTCTCAGGACTGTGAGACCCAGGAGGGAGCCGAGAGAGTCCCGGGCAGACGAGGAACTCAGGATAGTGACGGGGTGTCCCAGACCAACTCTAGGGGTCTGGAGTTTCCCAGTGGCGAGGACTAAGCGGGTGCGCAGGAGGAAAAGGAGCAATACTCGAGGCTTCCTGTCTCACGCTGGATGCTCCCCTCGACAGCGGTCAAGTCTGAGCAGCCAACAGCTTCCTGGAGCGCCGTGACGTCACCGGCGGTCAGGAGGATTCTCCCCTGTGAGTGTGTGAGCTGGACGGCCGCGGGGGCTGCGGATGGCGCTGGGCCCCGCAGGGTGAAGTTTTTCCCGCGATGAGCCCTTCCCACCGCCAGGGCAGAACTGTGCCCCGGCAGAACCCCGCCCTGGCTGCCTTGCGCAATTCACCTCTATCCCAGTGCGCCAGAATCCGACGTGCACCGCCGCCCCCGTGGATGGTCCCAATTCACCTAACTCCCCACCCTTCTCCTCTCTCCCTCTCTCCATCTGATATTTCCTTCCCCTTCTCCCAGGTAATGCCCCCAATCCTTATCAGCTCTGATTCTGCAACACCCTCTCCCCTACATGCGAAACTCCCTGCTACCCAACAAAAACCACCATGCTTGCCCCCTCAGCTCTGCACCGCTTTCCTCTAGGGATGCCTTCCCCAGGAATCTTCCCCACGCACCCGTCCCCTACTCTCTACTTTCTTTCCGGGGGCTGACTGCCCGCATCCATCCCACTGTCCCCCTAAGGCCGCACAGCCTGTCTTCGATACCTCCTGCTTGGCCTGCTCCTCACCTGCCTGCTGTTAGGAGTGGCCGCCATCTGCCTGGGAGTGCGCTGTGAGTAAGGCTGTCCCCACACCGTCCCCACTTCCCATTTACACCAAACGACTTTTATCCCGACTCTCCCCCCAAAGCTGACCCCCAAACCAGGGCTCATCATCACTACCACCACATGCTTAGCTTTAAGTTTGGTTTCCAGCCAGGTCTGTTGCCTTCCTGAATCGTCCTCACCTAATCCAGTACCTCCTTAAGCTTTAGGCAATCAAATCTTGTATTTCAGCCTGTGATGTAAAAAGTTGCAAGAAGCAGAAAAAGGGCTGATGCTGCAGTCTCAGGGCACTAGGGCAGGGCTAGAGAAGACGTCCTCCAAATCTCTGTGGCCAAACAGATCTGCAGGTGTCTCAGCAGCTCCAGCAGATGAACAGGGTTCTGGAAGCCACTAACAGCAGCCTGAGGCAGCAGCTCCACCTTAAGATAACACAGCTGGAACAGAGGGCAGAGGATCTGCAGGGGTCCAGGAGAGATCTGGTACAGAGTCAGGAAGCACTACAAGCAGAACAGAGGGCCCGTCAGGAGGCCGAAGGGCAGCTACAGGCCTGCCAGGCAGACAAAGAGAAGACAAAGGAGAACTTGCGAAGTGAGGAGGAGCAGAGGAGGGCCTTGGAGCAGAAGCTGAGCAACATGGAGAACAGACTGAAGTCCATCTTCACATGCCACTCATCAGGTATCCACTCTGGGGAGAGGAGAGATGGGAGGGATGGATTGGAGCAAGGAGATACTAGTGGCAGGGATCCGTCTATCACCCAGGGGACTGTGAGCTGTTCAGGAAAGGGACAGTGAACCAGAGTGGTGGCTGACATAAGCTGTTCAGGCTTGGCCAACAGAGAGAAGGACCAAGCTGCATACTGGATTTAGGGGGACCCACCCAGCTCCAAGGCATTCTGTGGGGGAGAGGAGGATGGCACCAGCAGTCCAAATCACAGTGTCCAAGGTTTCGTTTGGCTGACATCCGTGACAAGGATCTGGGAACACAGACTTGGCTGTTTGCACATCTTTCTAAAGACAGGGTCCACAGCTTTAATTAATTTTCGTTATAGCTGAGATCCCCCCAAAGGGTAAGACTTACTGACTGACATGGAGTGCAACCTGGTGGTGGAGCAAGGCAGTGAAGCTCTCAGCACTCACAGTAAGGTGGAGCCAGGAATTGTGGTATAGGGAACTAGGATGCGGTGTCCATTCATTTTGAAAGCAGGACCCTAGCTAGTAGGTGGAGATGGGGAAGGGAACACATAAAAGAGGCAAGGATGTGTCAAAGCAGGCTGAGGGTCTAGGCAAGGTGCCAGGCCCAAGGGGAGTGGGATATTTTGGGCTATGGTCAGGTTTAGGCTCTGTCTAGCTAGGGTACCTGCCCCCCTACCCCCCGCCCCGGCATAAGACAGCAAGATTGTGTGCAGACACCCCTTGCCCTCATTTCCTTAGCCTTATCCCCTGTGACCATCAGTTCCATGCCAGGGCTGCCCATTCTCATAGCTGTACCTTAGACCTCTACATTCCAAACTGCTCTTCTGGCAAAATAATGGTTTCAGACTTCCACTCTGATCACAGCTGCCTGGAGGAGGCACCACTCTGCAGGCTTTCCCTACGCTTTTTTTTTAAAAATCTCATTGAGGCCTCCAATCTGCCAACTCCCCTTTTTCTCCCTTCACTTCAGCCGTCTCCTGTCCACACTTCTCTCCCTACCCATCTTTGGTTTGGAGTTCATCACTTCAATTACTCACTTATTTTTTAAAGGACTGACAGGGTCTCACTATGTTTCCCTGACTGATCTTGAACTCCTGGGCTCAAGCAATCCTCTTGCCTCAGACCCCCAAAGTGCTGAGATTACAGGCATGAGCCACCATACCTGGCTCACTCACTTCTTTGTTCCATTATTCTTCTAGTGCACTTGATGGGCAAAATCTCAACTCTGGATGAACCCAACTGCCCATGGTCAGCACCAAGGTGTGACAAATAGTACAATCATTTTGCTTGGTGCCACTGAGGCTGTAGTCTCTCAGCACTGCCTGGTGACCTCTGCCATGGTCAGCTTGCTCTTCACAACTCCTTTTCCGACTATCTTCCCCCTCACTTTCAGCAGATGCCCTCATCTTCCACTCTTTGAGAGAGGAATTCCCTCCACTTTCCATGACCAAGTCTGTATATCCATTTGCATTTTTACCCATCCTTATCTTTTGCAAGGATACCTGCAACAGTTTTCTAAATATTTTTCCTACTCACCCCTCTCCCCCAAGTCCATTCTTCATATTGGAGCCAGAGTAAACCTTTACAAACAAAAATCTGATCATGTTATCCCAATCTAGAGCGTTGCAGTTAATTGATTAAACAGTTATGGAATACATAACATACAATATGTTCTAGCACTGTGCCCAGGCACTTGGGATATAGCTAGTGAACAAAATTCGTCTATGTAAAACCCTATACTGACTTTCTCTTCCTCATAATATAAAAATAAAAAATCCTTAACATGGTTCCAACACCCCTGCCTACCTTTCAGTGTGCCCCTTTTCCCGTCACCCTCTTCCATTTGGCCACATGGATTTCTTTCTTTCTTTTCTTTTTTTTTGGAGGTGGAGTTTCACTCTGTCACCCAGGCTGGAGTGCAGTGGCACAGTCTCGGCTCACTGTGACCTCTTCCTTCTGGGTTTAAGTGATCCTTTAGTAGAGATGGGATTTCACCATGTTGATCAGGCTGGTCTCAAACTCCTGACCTCAGGTGATCCATCTGCCTTGGCCTCCCAAAGTGCTGGGATTACAGGTGTGAACCACCATGCCTGGAAGGGATTTATTTTTTATTCCTTTAAGTTGCCATAGGACAGTAGCTCAAGGGAGTAGCAGGGTAGGACATGAGGACATGTAGAGAGAAGAGAGGGAGCAGGACTGATGGAGGCAGGACTGATGGAACAAAGCAATGGAAAGAGGTGGCCTGGGACCAGGAGTGCAGATTAGGATGTGGGATGTTGAAGAAAGAGGGATATTTATTTCTTATGGATAGTCAGGAAAAGAACAGAGAAGAGAAATTTTGAGGTAGAGAGGAGGAAAATGGAGAGAGCTCAGTTTCTGCAAAACAGGACCCAACATTGTCTGCTTGCAGGAAATTGTAGAGGGAAGGAGGGGGCCAGTGCTGGAGGAGTGGGAGTGTTGGATGTGCAGTGGGGGTGCTTTAGGTAGTGGAGGAGATGAGCCCAAGAAATGTTAGGTAAAGTGTCAGGGTGGACTGCAATTGTTCAAAAATTGGGGTAATAACATCGGCCCTATTAGGACAAACCTCCCAGATTGTTAAGAAGTAATGTTGTCGAATGTTAAAGTCTTTTTACTAAGTATACATAGATATGGTGTTTCCACGGGATGCAAAAGAAAGATTGTAAAGATCATAGAAGTCCATGGAAGGTGCTGAGATTAGGCCTAGGGGAATATTGTTAGCAACCAGATTGCTGAGTAGTCACTTTCATCCCAAGTGTTGCTGCTGTCATGCTCTTTCTGCTTTTTAGACACCTGCTGTCCGATGGGATGGATAATGCATCAAAAAAGTTGCTTTTACAAGTCACTTACTCGGAAAAATTGGGAGGACAGCCAAAGACATTGTGAAGCTCTGTCTTCCAAGCTGGCCACATTCAGTGGAATTTATCCACAAGTAAGCATATCCTTACTTACAGACTGTAGTGGGTACTATTAGGTCAAGGGACATATGTCATCAAGTCAGGAATGGCACTGCACACATGGCTGGGGTGGGCATTCCTTTTCAATGGCAGAAACTGAGAATCACAATACTTTTTACCTCCCAGCTTGGAAACAAGCTCTGCATCTTTTCAGCACAGTGGTCCAGGCAGCCCCTACTAACTGATAAGAGTTGGCATGAGAGCAGAAACTTATGAACCATCTGTACATTTTTTTTTTTTTTCCGAGATGGAATCTTGCTCTGTCACCCAGGCTGGAGTGCAGTGGCGTGATCTCAGCTCACTGCAACCTCTGCCTCCCAGGTTCAAGTGATTCTCCTGTCTCAGGCTCCCAAGTAGCTGGGATTATAGGTACCCACCACCAAGCCCAGCTAATTTTTGTATTTTTTAGTATGGATGGGGTTTCACCATATTGGTCAGGCTGGTCTTGAACTCCTGACCTCAGGTGATCCAACTGCCCCAGCCTCCCAAAGTGCTGGGATTACAGGTGTGATCCACCGTGCCCAGATCCACTGTATCTCATCTCAGCTGGCTGGTCAGCAGCCTGGGCTGCTTGACAGGTTCCTTGACTCTTGTAGCCTCTCAAGCTGAGAGGTCCCGTACTTGGTGGGCTGGATTGTAGGATTTGGTTCCTTGGGGTCAGAACAACACACAGAATGACTCTCCTCCAAAGGCGGGCAGAGATTCTTACCCAGCTGGGAGGCAAATTTAGCAGTGAGCCTGTATCTGCAGGGTGGCAACTGATGGATTCAGGGACAAGTCACCAAAGAGCTGTTATATATACAGCCCCCTTGCCAAAGCTGAGGCCTCCCTAGGGTGAACATTTTCTCCTGTATTTCTTATCACTCTCCACGTCTCTGGTCTCTCTGAATCTCCCCTCAGCGTTATTACTTGAGCTTAAGTCTGCTGTTGCCAAATGGTGATTCACAGAATTCATACTGGATCGGCCTTAGCTCTAAGGATGGGAAGTTGGTTGATGATACACAACACTCTAGGTAAGTTAGTTAGGACTTCTGGGTATTTTCAACTCCATGATCCCCTCCATAAAGACATGGTAATGAGATTTCCTCCCCACCACCTCCCCTTAGAATTCTTCCATAAATCAACACTGTAATTGCCTAATTTGTCTCTTCTAGTTGATTAATAACTTCCTAGGGTAATCTTATTCTTCATTCTATCTACATTACCTAGAAGTCCCTGGCACATGCTTTTTTGTTTCAGTAACTACTAGGTTGGGACCTATGCTATCTTACTTTTTAGGGAGAGATACTAAGGATTTAACTAAGGTTCCACAGCTGATGACACTGGCATTCTAACTCCATCCCTTGATAAGGCTACCCAAACTGAGGTTGTACTTTCTCAGTAGCGGCCACTTGGGGCACTAGAGCTGCATCAGTGAAGTGAGCAAGGGAGCAGTGGGGTATCACTGAGGATCCACCCTAGGGACCCTGAAACAGGGTGGCCACCTCCTTTTGTTCCCTAATTGGCCTTCCATCTTAAAGACCTAGAGTGATTTTTCCCTCCACTGGTCCTAAAGCCTCTTCTAGTTGAACTCCAGGCATCTGTCCTGAACCATGCCCAGATGTGGCCTTAGGCAGGCAGGTTGAGTTAGGACTTAGGTTTTATGAAGGCAAAGGGGAGAGAAGGGAGAGTGGGATGGAAGGGGTCCAGAGCATATCCCAGCTCTACTTTACTACATTTTAGGGTTTATATTCAAAACTCAAAATGCCCCTTGGTAAAAATATGGCCATCGTCTTACACACAACTGTTTCAAGAGGCATGTACAACTTCTCTTCCCTCCATCTGTGAGATGCCAGCTTTCAGGTTTCCAGATTGGGACAGCCCTTTGCACCGAGCTGGTATGAGTGAGGGATGGGGCTGAGGCATGGGAGTCCTGAGGCAGAGGGACTTAGAGCAGGGGCCTGGGGGCCCGAGATAAAACTTGTACCTGGGATGAAAAGTTCCTCCACAGCCTCCAGTTGCTTGGTCTGCTTATGTTAGGGTGGGGTGGACAGGGAGAGGGGCAAGTAAGGCCTAGAACTTATGGGAGGCTGATGATGTAGCTGGGAAAGAGGGTGAGCGGGATGAGGGTTCAGTTATAGTTGACTGTGAAGCTCACTGATGCTTTAATCTTCCAGACACTCATGCCAATTAAGAGCCTGTGCCCCTCCTTCCTAACCTGAGGCTGTGGGGTCCTCAGACCGTCTCCTCCCTGCATTCCTGAATTCTGGCAGTGCCCGGCCAAGAGCTGATCCATGCCTGACACTTCCAGCCAGCCTGCTGCCTGTTCTCTCTTCCTGAAACTGGACTGTTCCTGGGAAAAGGGTGAAGCCACCTCTAGAAAGGACTTTGGCCCTCCCCCAAGAACCTCCCAGAGTGGAATGGGGTGGGGGAGGAGGGCGTTAAGGGCTGAGCGGATAGGGGCGGCCCGGAGCCAGCCAGGCAGTTTTATTGAAATATTTTTAAATAATTGCACGTGTTAGTCTCATGTGTCAGCAATGCTGTGTCTGGTTCAGTGATCCCCACGGGAGCGCAAGCCCAGGGGTCGGACTGGAAGTGCTCTGTCCCTTGAGTCCATGCTGGGGCTCCCCTACATGGGGAGAAGAGCCAGTCAGTCCATCTGGGGCTGGCACTGTCCAGCAAGTGTGCTCTGTCCTCACAGGGTGTCCTGAAGGCCAAAGTGGGAGGCCTGAGACCAAAGGCTCCACTGCTAAGAGCGTGCCCCAGGCAGCTGCAGGCTGGGTGTGGGTGGCTTGGCGTGGTGCCCTCGGTGGCAGAGGAGACTGCCCGCCTCACAGTTCAGGTTGCGGTAACGGGCAACAGCTGGTGTGGGGCGGGGGCACATGGACAAGAAGCCAAAGCTGAAGGGGCCGAGGCAGCAGCCAGGACAGGGCAGCCCCTCATCGGGCTCCCGGGGAGCTGAAGGGGGTGGCGAGGCTTCTGTCCGCTCCAGGGCTGCTGCCCGGGGCAGGCTATGCTGGGCCCGGTTCCAGGGCTCTCCAGCCCAGCCTTGTGGGGAGTGCACCACCACAGCTGGGGGATTGTTATTGAGGGCGGGTCCTGATCTAGGGGACCAGGGTTGGGAGGCTGAGGAACAGGTGCTGATAAAGTTGTCTGTGGCCACGGCTAGAGGCAGCTGGGGTGCTGGTCCTGGAGGTTCCAGCTCAGGGCTGCTGCCCTCACACTCCATCTTCTCTTCGGCTGAGGGGCCCACAGGGGAAGGGCCAGGACCTGGCAGTGCTGTCTCCATACGGCGGGGGAGCTCTGGGGATGAGGGTAGCGAGCGGCAGCGGCGGGCAGGTGTTCCAGGCTGGACTAGAGTCTCCGGAGTGGTCACCAAGGGTAGCTGAGTGGAGGGCAGTGGCGATGGTGGCACAAGAGGCAGGACTGGCTTGCTGGGTGTGTCCAAGAGCTTGATCTTGCCACCCCTGAGGTCTTCCCGTAGTGAGAAGGGGTTGACTCGAGTCAGATTGTCCCCCCAGTTGGGGGGTGATTCTGGTGATGGGGGCAGGAAGAGGTCTGACCGGCTTCGGGAAAGCCGGGGGTCTGGCCTGGGAAGTGTGGCAGAGGGACCCCCTCTTGGAACAGAGCCTGTAGACAGAGAGGTCTGGAATCACTGTCTTCAGCATTTGATCATAGCTCCTGAGGGCCTCACTATTTTCCAGGAGGCTGGTGGGACTAGAGCTTGAAAAATGGAGACCCACTGGGTGCTTTGGAAAGGGGCGATGTCACCTCCAGGCCCCCTTTACTTCTTTTCCCTCCCCTCCCTCAAGCTCTAGCATTAGGAAACTGTCTTCTTTGAGATGTCCTCCCACCCCAGCCCAGCCCGATCCCCAGTCTTTTCAACTAATACACCTAGCCTCCCTCATGTCATCCTCTGAGTTCTAGGGAGGAGAAAGACCAAAGGACTTAAGCTGGGTCAAGGTCATGCTCTCTTACCCTGATTATGTGTCAGGCGAGTCCTGGTGAGTGGGGCTGGCTCAGGCAGCTGCTCCAGGATCCATTCTAGGTGCTGGGTAATTTCGGTGAAGGGGGCACGGGTGCTGGGTTCCATCTGATGGGTAGAGATGGAAACGGCTTCACTCAGTGCTCCGAAAGAGGATCTCTAAGTTTCCTCCCATCACGTGGGTCCCATAGGGTAGCCATGGCAGCTTATAGATGGGGGCAGGGCAGGGCAGGAAGGAGCGTGAGACTCTTACGCTGCAGCAGTGGATGGCCAGGAGCAGGAAAGGCAGTGGGCAGTCATCCCCCACCAGAGTTCGGAAAGCAGGCACATCCAAGCCAAAGTCCTGTGGGAACAGAAGGAGGGGCCTCCAAGTCAGCTTTTCTTGGGTTCTCCTTCTGCCCCAGTCAGAACCCCAACCTCCAGGGAATCCTCCTTGGTTATGAGTCACCTAGTCTGAAATTTTTCCTTTGCAAACCTAGAGACATTCACCTCAGTGCGCGGTAGGTAGTCAGGGTCCGCAGGTACTCGGGCAATGAGCTCACACAGGACAATCCCAAAGGCAAAGACATCAGCCTGGGGGTCAGAGATAATAGTGTCGGGGGAAGAATTAACAGTTTTCATTTTAGAATTTTGACAGAATATAGCAGAATTTGGTTAGGGGTGGGGGACCTTGACAGTTTTCATGTGTTGGAAGGGTGCCTGTGAGGGGCAAAGGGATCCTGGGGACTCCTGAAGATCTGGTAAAGTTGTTTTGGGGATGGATGAGGCCTTATGAGAACATCTCAAGGGTCTCAGAAGGCCTTGGGGATCTGAAGGGTTGATGTCTCACCTTCTCATCATACAGCTCACCCCGCAATACCTCTGGAGCCATCCAGTATGGGGAGCCCACCACGGCCAATGGCTCCTTCCTTGCCCCTTCCCTGCAGGGGCAGGGGCAGGTGGTCAGAAACATCCTACTCAGGTATCCCCCCCAGGCAAAAGAGGATGAAGTGAACTCCCTCCTCTCCCCCAAGGGAAACATCCCTGGGGATCTGGGGATATCAGATAGGGGCACTCTGGGAGAACTAAGGGGAACAGGGGCATTCACCTCACCTATACACAGGAATCTTTTCAGCCAGCCCGAAGTCACCCACGACAGCTGTGAAGCCTCGATCTTCCCGTCGGACTAGACAGTTCTGACACATACACATATAGTATCCCCACACACACATCACCTTCTGCCCTCTGGTCTCCCAATGTATAACCCAAAGTCCTCTCACTCCAGCATAACCTCAGCCCTCTCTGCTTTCCCAGTTTTCAAAGCACTTCAATATTGCAACATCATCCAACACTCCAAATACAGGGTGCTACTCAGTCCCTCAGAGCACTCCACTCACCCCGGTCCCCCAATATTCTCCAATGCCTTGCTGCTCCAACATCCTAATATATCTATTATCCACATCCCAACATCCACAGGCCAGTTACAACCTAATAGTCTCAAGCCCTCTTTCATGCCTCCACCCACCCCACTAGCCTACCTTGGATGTGAGGTCGCGGTGAAATACACCTTTGGAGTGCAGGTACCGCAGGCCTCGGGCAATGTCCAGGGCCAGGTGGAGCCTGACCGGCCAGGATAGGGGTTCAGGGGAGCTGAGCAGCTGTTCCAACGTCCCCCCATTCATATACTGGCACATAGAAGGGGAATGAATGTCAGACTTCAGTCTGTATTCTGGGTCCCCTACTTATAACCTAGGGGACACTCCAGAGGATCACAGAGGTTAGAAGGTAAGATTGTGCTCTAGGACTTCCCAGCCATGTTCTAGGATTGCCTTGTTCAACTCAGTAGCCACTAGCCTTGTGCAACAATTTAAATTTAAATAATTAAAAATTTTTTATTTAATCAAATTGACCCACAAAAAATCATCTAAACAATTAAAATAATTTAAATTTAACCACATGTGGCTAGTTGCTACTGTATTGGACAACATAGATAGAGACACTTCCATCACTGCAGAAAATTCTACTGGACAGCACTGTTCTAGGGGATACAGAGAATAGGACCAGCTGAAGCCTTTTATATGTGGTTTGCCTAAAGGGAAGTTCAGGAAAGCCTCCCCTGGGAGGAGGTCCTGCTGCCTCTCACTAGTCCCCCGTAGATCACTGACACCCTTTATCCTTGGGGGTAAAGGGGGGGGTGGGGGTCCGTCCTTTCCAGCCTATCCTCACCTCTGTAAGAGCGTGCAGCTGTCCCTGGTGCACACAGACCCCCATGAACCTGGAAGAGGATGGGGGACACAGAACGGTAGGGTGTTAAGGGCCTCAGCTCCTCCTCAGTTCCACTTTTCCCGCGGGATCTTTCCCTTTCTCTCCCGCCCAGCAAACTGCCCAGACAGGCTGGGGCCGCTCACCTTAGGATGTTGGGGTGCCGGAGTCGGTTCATCAACTGCACTTCCCGTAGTGTGTTGCCCCGATTACTGGGGAGCTTGTTCATCTTCAGCACCATGACTTGCCCTGACTGTCGATGCCGAACCTGGGGGCGGGAGCGGCCAGCGAGGGCCGGGCAGGTCGGGCGGGTCGCCGGAGTCTGGACCCTCTTCCCCGCACTCCCGGCCCCACAGTTCCAGCCTCTGGTTGAAGGCTCGGTCCCGCCCCTCTGCCTCTCGGCCGGTCCTACCTTGTAGACCTCAGAGAAGAAGCCGGCCCCGATCTTCTCCGCGCAGTGGAAATCGTCCACACGCGCCAGGCTAGACACGGCGCTGCGGAGAGCCCGGTAGGAGGAGGGGCGGCCCCGGCCCGGGCCTCCGCCCGCGCCCCCCGGCCCTGGGGGCCCCTCCCCCGGCACCTCTCCAGGCCCGGGCCCAGGGCCCCGCAGTGGGGGCCGTTCCCCGGCCATGGCCGGGCCCCCAGCCCGGGCCTGCTTCACATGGCAGGGTCCCCGGGGCCCCGGCAGGCCGTGCTCGCCATGGGAGCCGGCCCAGCCCGATCCCGGGCGCCGGGACTCCCGCTCCCGCCCTGAGAATGGAAGATCCGCCGAAGATCCTGGACCCGCCCCCGCCGCGCCAGCTGGGCCCGGGTGGACACCGCGCCGCTCAGCTCCGGGCCTGGGTTTGGGCCTGGGCCGGGCGGTGGCGGTGACGGTGGCGGCGACGGTGGCGGCGGCGCTCCCGGGCGGGCTCGCCGCGGGCGGAGGCGGGCAGGCGGGCGGGCGGCGGCTGCTCTGCTTAGCCGCCGGGGCTCAGGCTCCGCGGCCTGCCGGGGGCGGGGCTGGGCCGGGCCTCCGCTTAACTCTTTCAAGCCTGGCCTCCTGGCAGCGGCCACGCCCCCCAAGGTGCGCACCCCCACCTCCCGGCTTTCAGGTCGCGACGCCCTGTGGCGCCGGGGTCAAATAAGCTCAGGCCCGAGCTTGAATAACGGAAGGGAATCAAGGGCCGATGGTGCGTACGCGAAGTTTAGCTGCCCAGGGAGTCCCCTCTCTCCTCCCCGGGTTACTGTCAGTTGAGGGTCGGGCTCAGAAACCTGCCGGATTCCTGGGCTCCAATAACCAGCGGGGCAGAAACGTAGGC